TAGGGATAGAATGTGCATGCTGATACTCCAGAGACCAATGCAAGTTGCTTGTGCTTCTAAATGTTGTACAAGGGAATGGTCCAGTTGGTCAAGTCAAAAGGCACTTGTAAGATTGTGAAAGACTTGATAAATCACACACCCAATAAATATTATATAGGAACCAAGAAGCATAGGACTTAGATCAACCTAAGAAGACAAGCTTGATAATGTTGTTTCACACTTCTGTGACAGTTATAGTTCACAGATTTGTAGGTAGTTTTATCAAATGCATTTTGTGAGCTCTGTTTGATTTCTGATATATTTATGAGCCTGTGTGTCAGACATTTCTGAAGTCTTTCACAGTCTTACCAGCGTCTGGCCCACAGATTTCATTGGATCCACCAGGAAATACCACAGTGCTGCTAGACATGCTGCTGTCATGTGTATGTATGGTGGTATAAATTTGAACTGCATATTCCAATTTTGGACACATTTTGTGCAAATTTGTACAGTGTTTTGCAGCTCATATTTTGTGTGCGATTATTTCTAGATGATGTGATGTCTGTAAATGATAAAAATTTCATGTGAGGTTATGATCTGACCAACTGGACTATTCCCTTTTAAGAAAAATAATGTGTATTTATATACTTTTAAATTTAGAGCTTATGCCAGTTAGTGTGCAAATAAAAGTGTAAATATCATTGCTGATATTGGACCCTTGACCCATTTTTTTAAATGAATTAGTAATGTGTAAATTTTGTACCAGAGAAGACACAAATACCCTTTTTTTGCACCCTGTTGTTATGCTGTTATGTATAAAGGAACAAACTTTGTCACATACAATACAGGGTATAAACAAAAGAATGGTGTGGTTTTAAAAGTTAATAAAAAATTTATTTCTCACCTGACGGTGTATGTTGTGCCCGTGTAAGGTGAGAAATAATCTTTGGTTTATCGTGGATTCATTTATTATTCTGAAGCAGAGTTATATGTGACTTGTCACTGTTTCAAATATGTATTACAAAAATTAATATTAAGTTTAGAATTATAAATTAAAAACTATAAGTTGTGGTCTCACGGTAATATAAGTGCAAATGAAAACATTAACTTACCGTCATCTAATTAAACTCATCAATCTGTAATTACAAGTTTAGTTATTCAAAATAATTAACCTTAGACCATATTAAAGCTACTTTGTACATGCTATAATCTTCCAGCACAATATGAGTGTATCCATTTTGTAGTGTCTTTCCAAGATAGCAGACATGTGTGTTTAACTTTCAATTGGAACATTTTTATCATTCATCAGTATCAATTTTTGTATTATTTAATGTAACTCCCCAAGAGGGGCAGAGGATGTTCTTCCATCCTCTGCGTACAGACTGTCTCTAGGACCCACCCAGCCTCATCCCCAGTGGCTAAGGGGGTTCTTTCCTGGGGGTGAAGTGTGGCTGGAGTGTGACACTAAGTTCTCACTCCCTAAGTGCCAACATTGGCCTGTATAGGAATTGCTTTACTTTTATCTGCTAATTCATCATCGTGCCTATCTTCATGACAAATTAATGAAAAATTTATTTCATCCAAACAGTTTCATGACTTTATTCTCCTCCCATTATACCTTACTTTATCAAACATATTTATTATGCCAAAAAATTAATGGCGAATTGGTTAGCACACTTTCATTGTTACTATAGCTGGGATGAAATTGAATGTTTTGCCTACGTCACTGTCTTACAGGTACAAGGAAAGCAAATGCATGTACTATGTAATCCAAATACTTACTGACCCAGGAGGTGAGAAAGCAAGCTACAAAGTACTGCCACCAGGAAATAATGTTTTTGGAATGGGCAGTATGTGCTTCTTCATCTGCCATCTCCTACTCCTCTGATCCCTTTGCCTTTTAATTTTAATAGATGTGGAATGCAGAGATTTACCGCTACTACTGTACCAGGTTCAAATCTTGGCCCAAGGACTGACTATCCTGATTGAAGTTTCTTATGGTTTTCCTCAGACCCTGTGAACAAATGCCAGGATAGTACTTAAATTAGGCCACACCCACTTCCTTCCACATTCTTTCCAATTAATTATTCACTTATCATCCTATTATTCAGTGCCCTATAATCTGATTGTTGGAAATCTACTTTAATAAACCCTAAATAAATAATTTCAACTCTAATTTTTATAAATGAATGTTGTATGTTTGTTTGCTTTTATTACTCTGTTCCTAAAATATATTGAGTGGGGTTGCTTGTGTAGATGTCCACATGCAGTCGGGAGCATAAAGCTGGTGGTGTACCAGTTGGACAGGCAGAACTGGCTGTTCCGACAGCCATCGCAGAGGCCGTTCAATGTGGAATGATATTATGCACTATCTGATGTTGCAGCACACAGGCTGACCCTGTTTTGCTATTTTGCTCGAGTAGAGGAATGTGTACCCAACATCTGTGGAGTAGTTCAGCCCTGTAAGTACACACGTTACAAATTACACCAGCTCTTGATGTATCTAGTAAATAGAGGAAAAATCCTCTGCCCCCATCGGGGATCGAACCCCGGCCGTCCAGCCCGTAGCTAGTCACTATACTGACTGAGCTATCCCGGCTCCTGCTCTTGATGTATCTAGGAACATTAATGGTATTTATAATTAATGAACATCTGCAGAAAGCTATCCTTGGGCTTCATAACATTGCATTTGCATCATGGTGAAATTAGTTTTATTTATAAATTAAACATCTGACAATCTGGTATCAGAACCAAAGGACTCGATACTGCAAATTACAAAGGCTGCCATTGGACATGGCTTCAAGCTAATTCCTTCAGCCTCTGATTTGTACAACTGCTTATCTGAGACGCAGCTTAATATCCTACATTCCATTTGTTGGTCACACAAGTTATCTTTTTCCATTACATTTCTTTATCATAATTCTGTAAGCATTTCTTGTGTCACCCGTCCTAACTACATGTCATATTGTAAACTCCATTTTTATTTCAGTACTGCATGGTCATGGTGAGACATGTTCCTCGATAAATCTGACAAACACTTAATTTTGAAGACAAAGATTTCAGAGAAATGGTGCATCTGTTACTAAATTAAATATGGTTTTCTTTTTAAACACTTACAAAACAGTGATAATTATTGGGGTTTTGTTCAGGGTGATATGGTGTATTTTTTATGCACAGTAATGTTGTCTGAAAGCAGCTAAATGTGTGATTAAGTTTGAGAAATAAATAACATGGAAAAAGTATGTGATGAATTTAAGGAAAGCTTACAAAAGAAACAAAAAATTAATGCAGTAATGAGGAATAATATGAATAAAAATCTGAATTAAAATGCCCATTAGACAAAGATAAGTTGGCCTGGATAGAAAGATGCGTATCTTTAGACGTTGATGGAATGCTTTGAGGAATTATTAAATTTACAAAGTATTGTTGAGGACAGTACAGAAAATTGTAGTACGTCAGACAATGTTATATCTGTTAACAGCAATAACACAAAAGAAAAATAATATAGCACTACGATATGACAAAATATCTGTCAACGTGATTATCATGGTAACAAGTCAGGACCCATATTGAATCAGGAGAATTTTTTTTATAGAAAGCAGACCATCAGAGGACTCCTGTAAAGGAATTGCCAAACCAGTTTACAAGAAGGGAGACAGAAAACTATAAAAGAATTACAGTATTGTGCCAGACATTAAAATTTGCAGAAGAATACATTGTAATGCAGTAAAAAATTTATGGTCTTGACCTAGACGCAGCTGCTCTCCCTGAGCTGGAACACGCTCTTGCTGCCATTGGTACAGTTGCCGGAAGCAGTTCTGGAATTGCTGTGGCTGGAAGTCACACGGAGCATCTTGAGTTGCAGCAATAACGTCTTGCCTCTGTTGAAACGATGACCTCTCAAATGTTTTTCTCTCTTGAGGAAAAAGACATCGGATGGTGAGAGATCATGGGATTAAGGTAGACATGAAAACACGACAGTATTGTGTTCAGTGAGCGATTTTTGCACAGGAATTGAGAGGTGTGTTATCATGCAATAGAATTATGTCACTAGTCACTGGTCCACTCCTGCAGTTGGTGCAACTTTTGTTTGATCTTTTCTTGTTCAGAGTTGAGTCTTGAATGAGTTTATGACTAGAAAAGGATTTTAGAACCATCTTTAAGATATTAAATTATATAAATATGTTATAAACAATAAAGTGAGGCAAGCAGCTCAAAATATGGTCCAGGTTAATTTGAGGTATTTGAGGTTACAATCCATCAAGCATTGTGAACATTTATTTGAATTTCTGACAAATTATGAGTGAGTGTACTATTTGGTGAAATGTAAGACTTCTAGTGGTGATAATTAACAAGCAAGTGTATCCAGTTGTAAAAGACATTCTAATAACAAACCTGGGTGTAATTCATTGCTGACCACTCATGATGATACCTCTACTTGTCATCAACATCACATTTAACTCTGAAAAAGCCGGTCCATCGTTGACGTCAACTAACTCCAGTAACATTAAAGGTGGGGAAGACTGCATGCAAGGCTGGATATCATTTACATGATATTCAAACTGGCAACAACAACCGACGAAATATCAGTCCAAATTGTTTCTTATTCCTAAGGAAAGAGTATAAAAATGTAATTTCTAACCTTGCAGTTTTAACTGTGGATGAGAGTACAGATATGGTAACATACAGTACAGCTACCAGTTTTCATCAGATATGGATTCCAACCTCTAACTAATGTAACAGAAATTATTGTTCTGTATATTGTGAAAACACTGGTCGTGATTATGCAATCATATGAACATGTAGGAGTTGAGGTTTACACGGTGGTGAGTCTGAAGATAGACTACACTGTGCAACAATGCAAAAGACAGCAATTTTCATATGAAAAAATGTGAAAGAACCATTTAAAAGCCTGATTTAAATTTGAAGAAACTGCATGAAATCACAGAAGATATCACTCCAGCTGTAATATAAAAGAACAAGTTAGGAAACAGGTACGACAGATAAAAATATCGAAGCAATATAGAAACAATTTTTTAATAAAAATATACTAATGTTTACAAAAAACTCTTCTTCAGAGTTCATAGTGGATGATACAACCAATTTCCACTGTTCACCTCTGCAGTTGTTGTCCTAATACGTGAATCCATGTTGTTGCTGGATTGGTGAGTACAGGTGTTGTTATAAAGTATGGTCAATTCCGGGGTGTTTGTGGCCTCTCATGTCATGCTCTCGATCTGTCCGAAGGTCGCCCTGAAAATAACGTACTTTATTAGTTACAAGAGCATCAAACTCTTAAAATATGCTACATATCTTGTAGGCTGTTCATAGTGTATTATAGCTGGCAACTGTGCCAAATGTGTTGCTGTGTATTAAATAATTAAGTTTTTCTTCTTTTGTATATTTGAGGACTGACTAATAAAACATAATTTAATGTGTAAGACAAAAATAAAAGCAATGGCCATTAATATTGTAACTTGAAGTACATATATTTAAGAGAACTTGTGTTAAATTAATGCAGCCAAAATATCGTCACTTACTGATCTTGGGCGCTGCTACCAGGTGTCTTCGTCATTGGTCTAATTGGGTATGAGTATGGGCGCAATATATGTGCATATCTGCAAAATGAATTACAGAGACACATATAAGTATATTCAGTTATAGTGTAACTTATTTATTTTGGTGTTGCCTCCATCATCAGGGCGATGAATGTGCACATACCAGACTGGGTAAAGTTACTGACTGTGAGCCATGTAACAGGGAGGGAAAAAAGTTTCTTTTTCACATTTGTGTCCAAACTATTTCTTGGATCCATCCAACCTCCATTTTTGTGTGTTACTGAAATATTTTGCTTTGTGATTGTTTGATGCGATCGTTTATTTATTTTATTTTTAGAGTAATTAAAAGAACCTTTCCTTCTCTGAACATACATGTGACATCAAACAAACAACAGAATTGCAATTATTATAATACGAATGCTGTGATAGTTTTAGCATGTTCAAAAAGAGCAACAGATACATTTTTTGTTAAGTGATTAAGTTATTGATCTATAGTGTAAAGAATTTCAGAATTATTTGAAGAGCCTGTATTGGCATAAAGACAGATCATCTGCTGATGGACATAATACAGCTGGATGAACACAGAACAATTGAGCTGAACCACTTCACCAGTTGATGCATTCATTTTCTTCTTTGCGTTTGACATGTTTGTTCTCTGTGTATACAAAGTGCATAATGGTCTTCTGAGATGTACCACATATTCTGGTATATATTAACCATTTCCATCACCATCGCGGAGGCAGCTCCAGAATGGTGAAACATCAATATCTACAATATGTACAATTCAACATCCCAGATGACAGCCATTTTCATAAGTGTTGCTGTGAGAACATCAAATCTCACATACATATTGGGTTGAAATCGTTTGTCAGTTGAGGTTATGTGTCGATGCGTATCGAGGTAGCAATGACATGAAGAGCGACCAGAGGTATACTTACATCCTGTATTTTTAAGATTGTAATATTGTTCAGCCATCTGTGCCACTGTCTTGCGGCTTTTCAACTAATATTTTGTATGCATTTCTCTCTCCCATGTGCACTACATTCCATCCAATCTATAGATCATAATACTAAATGCTGATTATGAACATACAAACATATTTTACCACATCTCAGTGGAATGAATTCTAATTGATGCACATTTTGTGTTAGTTTGTAAATCATGCTTTAACTCTTAAAAGACAACCCTCATCTAAGTAATATTTAAAAATTTAGTCCTTCCTGGAGGTAAAAAAACAGCAAAAAACAATTCACCATTACAAAGATCAATTTGTTAATGCTGTTCGAGGAAATAGTCACTGTTTGTACTGAGAATCATACTGGAGCCATAAATACAAAATTCAGAGTTACTGATTGCTGAAGCAAGTGGTACGTGTAGATCCCACTGATCTTTAAAGGGTCAAGCATAGAATGAGTTTTACTGAACGAGTAATTTCTGTTCTATTGCTGCTGGCAATTTTAAGCTACTGGTAAATAAGCACTGTGTGCAGGTCTGCAGCATCATTCACATAACTGGCTGTGTTGGAATGAAAAGTCTTAAACATTGTGACAGGCGGAATATTATCTCAGCAAGTTGAACAGGAAAAGAGGAAGAGGGATGTTTAAAATCAATTAAAAGTTGCTTTATGTTTCTCAGATAATTGTTCAGATTGGAGGTGATGTTTCTTTTCATCTAGTGGAACATTTCACTAGACGTCATTCTCACAAATGCTGTTACAAGTTGTATGGGTTTAGGGGTAGTACATAGAATTTCACTGTGTACATAACTGAATAGTCTTTCCTTGAACTGTGCAATTACGTAATTGTCATTCGTCTGTTGATCAATTCTGTTTTCCCCGTGTTGGGTTTTTAACGTTGGCAAGACTGTAACCTTGGCTTCCTTCCGGTTTGTGTTTGATGATGAAGAAAGTTGTCTAGACCGCCATTATTGGGTGTGAGCAGGGTGTGAACAGGCTGTGATCGATATGAAGTGCATTCATGTGTAAGTTTGAACTTTGAAGTTGTTTCGTATGAAGTTGTGTTAGCGGGGACAAGAACCTTTGCTGTTTGTATTCCATCAGCATTTAAGTGTTTCTTGTGTATCAAAGATCTCGTGGGAAAGTTTGGTGTGGAAGGAAGACAGAGCGGTTGCTCCCACTTCGCAGTTACAGCCAACAGGGCTGCAATTTCTGTACTGTATTGGGTCATACTCCCATCAAGGAGCTCCCTGAATGATATGGATTGCTGGTGACAGTAATTATGTCCGATTGTCTTCCAGTTGTGTCAGCTAACAAGTTTTTTTTTTTAGATGGCGGCACCAGTGCAATTAATGCAATCTGCTACATGTGCTAAGCCAAGAACCGATGAATATCCTGGTCCATTTGGATTTGAAATTCAGATAGATGGTGGATCTTCAAGAAAGCAGAGGGTGGTATGTATAATTTGTAAAATTGTTTTTCACGCGTTCAAGCTCTCTTGTCGTACTTGTCATGTATTTAAGTACTTTCATTGAAGAGATTGATTGTTTCTCATTGATATTATGGTATTTTCCTTATTTTTATAAGAAGACGTACATGGCATTTAGAAAGTACTTCTCTTGAACGGATGTATCACTGCTTATAAAACACTTCATTCAGGATAGATGATAACTTAGTCAATCTTTGAACCAGGTGTCTTCTCAGTTCAAGCCTCTAATGCTTTAAGGAAATAATCCTTGTTTGAAGCCAATAAATACAAAGTAAAAATCTTAAAACTTTGCATCCTGTGTAGTGTATTAGAATATGAAATATGCAAACAAACTATTAATACTATAAAAAAGACACTAATGCCATACACGTTTCAACCTCAAGAGGTCATTATCAGTGGCAACAGGGAAATTAATTAATTTAATGTAAATGGTTTAAAATTGGTCTAAATATGGTTTAGAAAACAAGTCATGAAGTGGAGTTATTTTACAAAAGCATATCAAGCAACACTACACTAGATGTTGGTTTCACAGGAGTTGAACTCTGCACTTAGCTATTGATCCGATATTCCGGTGGCCGTAACTGGTCTGTGGCAAGTTGTTGTTGCGTTGTCCATGCCTGTGAACTCCAACGAAGCTTGGGTGTTGCAGATCTTGATCAAAGGGATTGAGATATTTACACTTTCACGTTACAGGTGCCTATAGATATTAAGTGGATGCGTACGATGTTGATGAGGGCGTTAGACACATCCTTGCTGATGGCTACCACCGCTCAGTTCTTTTACCTGAGTAAGGCCAGTAGGAGGCACCATTTTTTCATTGGAGGATTATGCTTCATGACTATGGCCTTGATATTGCTGGTATGTGACACGTAGGCATAGGTTTCGGTGTTCATGAGAAGTCACATTGCTTACATTCCTAGTCTGTTCCTGCAGTGCATATATATATCTCTCTCTCTCTGCGCCTTCCCTTTCCTTTTATATTTATGTATAATTATTAAGATTGGATTTTAATGTCCTGCGCATTTGCCGTAGGTATAGGGCCAGAGCTGTTTGTCTCCTAAGACGTCACAGGCATGTTTGAAGTTTGTTAGAATTTACACCTTTTATATGTTTGTTATATCACATTTTAAATGTGCGTTTTTTATCCTTGTACTTTTTAAATTAAAATTAATTATTTGGTTTTTCCGTCAAATCACAATGTATTTAAAATAAGATAATTAAAATAATTAAAATATCATTCTGTTCCATATCGAATAATCGATTTACAATTGGAACATTTACAACATGTTTCGGTTTTATTAAACCATCATCAGGTGTAAAATTATATTAATAAATTTAAAACCCAATTACAATTTTTTACAATTTTTTCGTAGTGTAGTTTATTTGTTAAAAAATTGTAAAAAAATTGTAATTGACTCGTGACTTGAACTGTTTGTTATCTGTGACCGTCGATTTTCCAAACGTGTTGTATGTTAATGCATTCATTTTCATAATTATTGAAATTATTAAAGGACTAATGGATATCAGCAATTTGTTTATTATAATCTTATGATGTCATAATACTAATACTTATCCAAGAATTTTTTGTCTTGTAACCAACTAGATGGCTTACCGAACCCGAAGGTTCATCACCAAATTAACCGAAGCCCTCCACCGGACCCTGTCCTGGGCCAACAAAATCCAGTCTCCTTCAACTCCTATATCCCATAGATCCCTCCTGACATTATCCTCCCATCTATGTCTAGGTCTCCCCAGCAGTCTCTTCCCGTCAGGCTTCCCAACCAATACCTGTTGCACACCTCTTGTCCCATCCATGCGCGCTTCATGCCCCGCCCATCTCATTCTTCTTGACTTAATTGCCCTGACAATATTGGGGGGGGGGGTAAAATTTTTAAATTCGCCATTATGGAGTTTTCTCCAGACCCCATCATCATCTCTCCTAGGCAGAAATATCCTCCTGAACACCCTATTCTCAGACACCTGCAATCTGTGTTCCTCCCTCAGAGTGAGAGACCATGTTTCGCACCCATACAAAACAACAGGCAAAATTATTGTTTTGTATACTTTAATTTCCAGGTTCTTAGAAATCAGACAGGAAACAAAATATTTTGAACTGAGAAGTAGCACGCTTTTCCGGAATTTAGTCTCCTCCTGACTTCCTCATGAGCATCATTTTAATTTCTTATTGTCGTTCCCAAGTATTTGAACTTTGTCACATTTGTCAAGGATTTATTAGCCA